CAGGAGGGGGATAGGTTCCAGTTTTCAAAGATATTTCTTTACAATTTCTTCTTTCCAATTTTAAATTTCAAGATTTCTGCCTCTGATCAAGCGTGTACCCTGTACAAGTTGATTGAACTATTTTCTCTCATAATTATCTATTCATCTTGACTAAATTTAGCTACACCTTTTGTCGTCCAAACTATGAAAATGGGCAGTCATACATATCAATGTACAGCTCACATCATCACCACCACAATCAACAACAAAAATGACAACAACCATAATAACAACAACGGCCACAACTATAATGGGAACAACGTCGATAACATCAACAACAATAATACCGACGTTTATTGCAAAATCGACAGTAACAACAGAACGGCAGCAACACCAACAACTACCCTACCACAACAAACAAAAAATCAGACCAAACCATAATAAACCACCCTGAGCGGCGTCTGTGGTGTAGCTCTTCAGTTTCGTGCACAGAAGACATGAGTTCGATTCCCGCGCGTGTGGAGAATTTTTTATTGAGTACCTCGGTCTTTCTGCTGGAACAATGTATCCTTCACAGGCCGGTCTGACTCTCTTTTAGCAGGCATGGTCTAAGGAAGCCTCCTAAATTATCTAAACAGTGTCGATGCCGGGGGCATAATAACACTAACATTACCTGCCTGGATACCTGGAGGTGTCATCTCTGACTCAGAGTTTGACGCGTAAGACCCTTCATCTTTCACGGTCGCGAGCTGTTGTTGCACATTCTGCCATATCCAGACCAGTCCATGTTCTTTTGGCTCTCTTGTCCCACATCTTTCCCCCAAGCACCTCTTTCACAAAGGTCTCGTGTCTTTTTAAGTGAACACATACATTAAAAACGCCCCCCAACCCCGCAAACCAAAAAAAAAGAAAAAAGATCCAAAACAATCGGCACAGCGTGGACTAAACACACCGTCACTCACCAATCCCGATCCCGATAAAGAAGCGGCAGACAGCAAACATCTCCCAGGACACGGAGAAGGCGGTGACGATGTTGATGACGGCGTGCCCCAGCACGTAACTGTACGTGACCTTCTTCCGGCCGAAGTAGTCCCCCAGCTGACCGGCGAGGAACGCCCCCACCAGCACTCCGGCCATCTGGATGGACGTCACCAGCTTTTTCACCCAACTCATGTCGCATACCAGGTCCCACTGGAAGAGAAGTAGATAATAATATAGACTACGTCATTCCATAAGCACCTAAGTCATTTAAAAAAGTCTTTTGAGAAAATTAAAGAAAAAAAGAGAATGCCCAAATCATAACCATAACTTGCATACAGGTTTTTTAAAGTGACTGATTAGGAAGGTAGAATGCCAAGAGACAGGGTTTGTTTCCCCCCCCCCCCTCCAGAAAGGTCCGGGAAGCAAAGTCTACCTTCTGAGGAAGCGAAGAAGAAGAAGAAGAAGAAGAAGAAGAAGAAGAAGAAGAAGAAGAAGAAGAAGAAGAAGAAAGAAGAAGAAGA